CCTGGTCAGGGGGAGGGTGACACAGCAGCAGGTTGCTGAGTCCAGATGGACAGCAGGAGCAGACAAGTTGTCATCCTATGTGTCAGTGAGATGTTGCTGGCCCAACCCCCTTCACACTATTTTAAGAAACAGAACTGTGGGACACAGTTTAGGCTCTTACACTTAGGTTTGCAAGACTCACATTTGAGTGCTTCAGTGCTGGATTTGGGCCCCAACGCACTGGCCAGTGGAAAATGGTTTGCCAGAGACCGTTGGACCACTATTTCTGCATTGCCCCTTACACTCTTGCTGGTGACACTCCAAGCAGGCAGAAGCAAATAATAACACAGTGTAGGCAGGTGTCAAAGTAATAATCTTGTTGAGGAACCAAGGGATTAATGTTTGGTGTTAGAAGAGTTTACAGTGTGCCTTTTCTTTTATGTGTTACTTCCTGTTTTCTTGAGATGATGATAAATTCGGGAGGAGGTCCAACCTCGTGGTCAGTTGGTGGGAAGGGAATAGTAAGGACCATACCTCTAAAGTTGTGATGGGGTGTGTTATTGGTGGAGTTATCCCACAGCGGGACCCTTGTATGGGTCCAAGGCCTGAAATTTCTTTCATTTCATTGCATGACGTTACCATTGAATGGAAATGTTTCTGAGCACAGCAGTATCGAAAGAGTGGTGTATGTATTATGTTGTGCATATTGGATGTTGCATCATTTTTTGTTCTGCTGGAAATGATAACAAACTGTCTGTAAAGGATGAAAAACTGCAGTAAAGAAATTACTTGTTAAGTGAAAACGTCTTGTCTGATTCTTGTGTACAATAGTGTGAATTCACAGTGAACATACTCAGGGACAAAGTGTACAACTTCAGGTTAAACCTTCAGATGTTGAAGTAAGTGAAATAACATGATGGAAGAGCAGCCAACTAGGGAGTGGAAGCGGTGGTGTCCATGTGATGGAAGTCCCATAGGTGGGGTGGTCTGGCAGGGTTCTCTTAATACTACAAGATACAAAGACATTTAGACAATTGTGGACCACCCTGCCTAGTGGTTGGGCCCCATCTTAGGGCCTTCTGCAGAACAGAACCTGTCCTAGGAACCTGGTCTAGAACCACAGTATGCCAGGCCATGTGATGTATGGAGTTACTCTTCACTTAGCCTATGGGCTGAACACTGAAGAAGTAAATATTGAAAATGCTGGTGGGAAGAAGTATGCTCTACACTGTTTCTTCCAAAATGACTTTGTAGTCAGTGCCAGGACAGGTGTCACTGGAAGGTGCAAGGATGTTATCTTTCTGTATGTGGGGTGAAGTAATATGGCCTCCAGCCATGAGGGGGTGCTAAACCCACATAAATCAGCAATGTTGCTAACAGCATATACAAGCTAGTATGTCTACAAATGAGCTTAGGGAAAGCCAAGTGAAACCAACTATGAATCCACACTAAGGCTAACAGCACTAAATTTGGGCTAGGGACATAGCTGCATAGAGCAGGATTCTTATGCATGCCATAGATGGGTTGAAAATCAGCCGATTATTCATCCGAAAATAAAAGCGGCCATTAATGGGTTAATTGGTCAGCCGTTTTTCTGGATTTTGACAGATTTTTTTTGATCGGTAAAGTTGGAAAAAAATTGGCTGATTTTGCCGATCGGCCGATTTTCACGGTAAAGATGGGCAAATCGGCGATCTTTTTACCGATAAAAAATCTGCGCATGAGCCGTGACCTGCAAGAAGAAGAAAAAGAAAATGAAGAAGAAAAAGAAGAAGAAGAAAAAGAAGAAAAAAGAAGAAAAAGAAGAAGAAAAAGAAGAGAAAGAAAAAAAGAAAAAGAAGAAGAAAAAAAGAAGAAAAAAAAAAAATAAGAAGAAGAAAAAGAAGAAAGAGAAAGAAGAAGAGAAAGAAGAAAAATATGAAGAAGAAAAATATCAAGAAGAAAAAGAGGAAAAAAAAAGAATTTCAGTCCGCTATTATATTTGACATGAAAAAGTATTGCAGTTGCAACAATGTATCTATTTGTATCCAAAAAAAAAAAAAAAACCCATCTGTATCCGAAATGGATACAAATAGATACAATGTTGCAACCGCAATACCTTTTAATGTCAAATATAATAGCGGGGCTCTCTGCAGGGACAGAAGTAATTAAATGCCAGCCGTAGACGGGAAGAAAATCGGCTGATTTTTTTTACTGTTGGTGGTAACGTCGGCCTATTGAACGTCCGATTTTTCATTTTTTTTTTTGTAAAAAAAACGTCCGGTTTTTCTCCCCGTTTATGGACTGCATTACACAGGAAAGATACTCCCCCAAACTGTTGCCAGAAGGTTGGAAGCCTACAATTGTCTAAATGCCTTTGTCTCTTGTAGTATTAAGAGAACCCTTCACTAGAGCCGAACTCAGTAATTCTCTGGGGTATCAACATAATTTTCTTCATATAGAGGAAGATTTACTTAAACTGGAGAGTGTGAAATCTGGTGCAGCTCTACATAAAAATCAACCAGCTTCCAGGTTTTATTGCCAAAGCTTAATGGAACAAGCTGAAATTAGAAGCTGATTGTGTACCATGCACAGCTGCACCAGATTCTGCACTCCAGTTTTAGTAACTCAACCCCATAATGAATCTCTACAGTATTTGTATCTAACCCATAAGAATTGACTGCCTGTGAAGCAAATGCCCTATTGGTAGGGGAAACCAATTTAAAACGTTCTGCATTGCAAGCTGTGAGAACAGATTGAGATGAAAATAAAATAGAGTGTATAAATGATTTCTAACATTATGCAGAATTGTATTGGATACAGTTATTGCATAAAATAAAATTAAGACATTTATCACCATGTAACATTGTTATTTTGGCTGTATCAAGTGTACAACTGATAGCTCTAAAAACTGATGGGATCTGTAGTTGTATTCTCAAATATAGAATTACCATTCTGATGACTTCATCCTTCTCAGTCAGTCTGTAATTGTACATAAGACATAGCAGTCAATGTGAATATGGGTGTCTGTAGTATTGGGACACCCTTACAAATCATTGGATTCAGGTGTTTCAATCACCTCCATGGCCACAGATGTATACAATGAAGCCCCTAGGCATGCAGACTGCTTCTACAAATATTGTGAAAGAATGAGTCACTCTCAGGAGCTCAGTGACTCCAGGCATGGTCCCGTGATAGGTTGCCACCTGTGCAATAAGTCCATCCGTGACATTTCCTGGCTACTAAATATTCCACGGTCAACTGTTAGTGGTATTGTAACAAAGTGGAAGCAACTGGGAACAACAGCAACTCAGCCACCAAGTGGTAGGCCACGTAAAATGACAGAACGGGGTCAGTGCATGCTGAAGCGCACAGTGCGCAGAAGTCACCAACTGTCTGCAGAGTCAATAGCTAAAGACCTCCAAACTTCATGTGGCCTTCAGATTAGCACAACAACAGTGTGTAGAGAGCTTCATGGAATGGGTTTCCATGGCTGAGCAGCTGCATCCAAGCCTTACATCCCCAAGTGCAATGCAAAGTGTTGATTGCAGATGCGTAAAGCATGCTGCCACTGGACTCTAGAGCAGTGGAGACGTGTTCTCTGGAGCAGGGGCGGACTGACTGTCAGGAATGGACTTGCCAATAATGGTGGGACTCACCTGCCTTGTGGGCTGCAGTACCAGGACTGGCCAGCGGGTGCTCTCAGCAATCAGAGACTCACCCCTGCAATCAGCCAAACACCTGAAGCTGATTGCAGGGGTTGTATTTAAGGAATGGCCAGACTCACAGTCAGGGCCTTGGTGTGTGTTTTTTTTCCATGGGCCCCTGTACCTTGTATCCTGTATTCCTCTTCCTGTCTGACTTGTTGCCGACCCTGCCTGATCCTGACCTCTGCTGACTTCTCCTGCTTGATCCCTGGCTTGTGACCCTGACCATTCTCTGCCCGACCCTCTGTACTGTACTGCGCTGCCCGTGAGTTACTGAACCCAGATTGTGACCCCGACCACTCTCCCGCCTGTTCCTGGTACTCCGTTTGCCCGTTTGCTACTGACCCGGCCTGCCTGACTACTCTTTGTATTGTATGTATTGTTATTGGTGGGTGATTTGGTTTGTTTGCACTGTGTTCATGTTTAGTTTTTCACTGCGTTTTGTATTGTTAGTCTTAATAAATCATATTGTTTATACCATATCTGAAGCCTGCATTTCCCTGTGTCAGTCCACACACCTCTGGTCATACCTGGAGCCCTGACATTACACCAAGGCCAATCCTGACCAGAAGTGGCTGCACAGGGAAGCCATCTTGGCTTATTGTTGCTGGGAAGGATGGATCTTGATGAGGTAGTGTATTTATCTCTGCTAGTGTTTGATGACAAAGACTATGCTTATCAGACTCTGAAGGAGTATCCCAGGGATCAACTACTAGAGTGTATAAGGATCGCTCATTGCCTAGTAGATCAGGGCACAGAGTTTTCTGAGGTGCAGCCATTGATCCAGGTTTGTGCTGAGTTGGCTCGGTCCTGTACCCCTGAAAGCAGGAATGACTTTTTTCCCCCATTTAGTGTGGATCAAGTGGAATCACTGGTATGGTTGTTGGAGGATGATCCAGATTGCTTCCATGAACATTATGCAGCTTGTCCATCACATGTGCTTATGGATTGCATAAACGCAGTGCAGTCTTTGGTCAGGCAGGCTATGTGTAAGCTGAGTTTTGTTCAACCAGTACTGCAAACATGGACAGATTTGTTGCACCCAGCCTCAGTCAGCTTGCAACATCATTCCTCTGCTCAAGGCACTCTTCCTGCATCCCCAACGGCACCCCCAGTGACGGCCCAGTATACTCTGCTAACTCCCACATACCAGTCTCCTGCTCCCACTCGCTGCACCTATCCTTTCTTTAACCCTGTAAAGAAGTCCTCTGTAGCAACTGCTCCCTCCTCTGTTCCATCCTCCAGCTCTTCTCTGTCTTTAGCTGCTCTATTCGTTTACAGACCTGCGTTTACTTACAGTGCTCCAATAACTAAAACCAGAAAAAAGCGAAAATTCTTTCCAACCAGTACCATCCTGCCAGTATCCAAACCGGTCAGCCTGCCGTCTGAGAACCCGCCTTCCGTGGTTCAGCCTGGTGCCTCGGCACCCGCAATTCGGCCTGATGTCTCTACCCAGTCTGATGTCTGTACCCAGCCTGATGAACTGATCCAGCCTAATGATTCTATTATGCCAGGTGACTCGGTGCCCGCTGTCGAGCCAGATGACCTGATGCCTGGTGACCCGATGCCCACTGTCGTGCCTGATGACCCGATGCCAGCTGTCGAGCCAGATGTCCTGATGCCTGGTGACCCGATGCCCGCTGTCGAGCCAGACGATCCAATTCCCGATGACCCGGTACCTGCTGTCGAGCCAGGCAATCCAGTGCCTGGTGACCCAATGCCCGCTGTCGAGCCAGACGATCCAATACCTGGTGACCCGATGCCGCTGTCGAACCAGATGACCCGGTAGCCGCTGTCGAGCCAGATGACCTGATGCCTGATGACCCGATGCCCGCTGTCTTGCTTGATGACCCGATGCCCACTGTCGTGCCTGATGACCCGATGCCAGCTGTCGAGCCAGATGACCTGATGCCTGGTGACCCGATGCCCACTGTCGTGCCTGATGACCCGATGCCAGCTGTCGAGCCAGATGACCTGATGCCTGGTGACCCGATGCCCGCTGTCGAGCCAGACGATCCAATTCCCGATGACCCGGTACCTGCTGTCGAGCCAGACAATCCAGTGCCTGGTGACCCAATGCCCACTGTCGAGCCAGACGATCCAATACCTGGTGACCCGATGCCCGCTGTCGAACCAGATGACCCGGTAGCCGCTGTCGAGCCAGATGACCTGATGCCTGATGACCCGATGCCCGCTGTCTTGCTTGATGACCTGATGCCCGCTGTCTTGCCAGATGACTCGGTGCCCGCTGTCTTGCCAGACGACTCGGAGCCCGCTGTCTTGCTTGATGACCCGATGCCCGCTGTCTTGCCAGATGACTCGGTGCCCGCTGTCTTGCTTGATGACCCGATGCCTGCTGTCTTGCCAGATGACTCGGTGCCCGCTGTTGAGCCAGATGAACTGATGCCTGGTGACCCGATGCCCGCTGTCGTGCCTGATGACTCGGTGCCCACTGTCTTGCCAGATGACTCGGTGTCTGCTGTCGAGCCAGATGACCTGATGGCTGGTGACCCGATGCCCACTGTTGAGCCAGACGATCCAATGCCTGATGACCCAGTGCCCGCTGTCATGCCTGGTGACCCGATGCCCGCTGTTGTGCCTGATGACCCAATGCCCGCTGTTGAGCCAGACGATCTAATGCCTGATGACCCGGTACCCTCTGTCGAGCCAGATGACCTGATGCCAGATGACCCGATGCCCGCTGTCGAGCCAGATGACCCGATGCCCGCTGTCGAGCCAGATGACCCGATGCCTGATGACCCAGTACCCGCTGTCGTGCCAGTTGACTCGGAGCCCGCTGTCGTGCCGGTTGACTCAGAGCTCGCTGTCGTGCCTGGTGACTTGGGGCCCGCTGTCTTGCCAGATGACTCGGGGCCTGCGGTCTTGCCAGATGACTTGGTGCCCGTGGTCTTGCCAGATGACTCGGTGCCCGCGGTCTTGCCAGTTGACTTGGTGCCCGCGGTCTTGCAAGTTGACTCGGTGCACGTGGTCTTGCCAGATGACTCGGTGCCCGTGGTCTTGCCAGATGACTCGGTGCCCGCGGTCTTGCTAGATGACTCGGTGCCCGCTGTCTTGCCAGATGACCCGGTGCCTGCCGCTCCGCCTGGGGGCCCGGTGCCTGCCGCTCCGCCTGGGGGCCCGGTGCCTGCTGCTCCGCCTGGGGGCCCGGTGCCTGCCGCTCCGCCTGGTGGCCCGGTGCCTGCCGCTCCGCCTGGTGGCCCGATGCCTGCTGCCGCTCCGCCTGGTGGCCCGGTGCCTGCCTGCTCCGCCTGGTGGCCCGGTGCCTGCTACCCTGCCTGGTGGCCCGGTGCCTGCTGCCCTGCCTGGTGTCCAGCCCGATGTGCCTCTGTCCGGTGTCCAGCCCGATGTGCCTCTGTCCGGTGTCCAGCCCGATGTGCCTCTGTCCGGTGTCCAGCCCGATGTACCTCTGTCCGGTGTCCAGCCCGATCTGCCTCTGTCCAGTGTCCAGCCCGATGTGCCTCTGTCCGGTGCCCAGCCCGATGTGCCTCTGTCCGGTGCCCAGCCCGATGTGCCAGTCTTTGATATCCCGCCAGTTACCGGACCCGGGCGGTGGAACATTTTGCCCAGCTAGGACTGTTTGGAGCATCCTGAGGCCGCTCCTTGAGGGGGGGGGTACTGTCAGGAATGGACTTGCCAATAATGGTGGGACTCACCTGCCTTGTGGGCTGCAGTACCAGGGCTGGCCAGCGGGTGCTCTCAGCAATCAGAGACTCACCCCTGCAATCAGCCAAAACACCTGAAGCTGATTGCAGGGGTTGTATTTAAGGAATGGCCAGACTCACAGTCAGGGCCTTGTGTGTGTGTTTTTCCATGGGCCCCTGTACCTTGTATCCTGTATTCCTCTTCCTGTCTGACTTGTTGCCGACCCTGCCTGATCCTGACCTCTGCTGACTTCTCCTGCTTGATCCCTGGCTTGTGACCCTGACCATTCTCTGCCCGACCCTTTGTACCGCGCTGCCCGTGAGTTACTGAACCCAGCTTGTGACCCCGACCACTCTCCCGCCTGTTCCTGGTACCTCCGTTTTGCCCGTTTGCTACTGACCCGGCCTGCCTGACTACTCTTTGTATTGTATGTATGTATTGTTATCGGTGGGTGGGTGGTTTGGTTTGGTTTGTTTGCACTGTGTTCATGTTTAGTTTTGCACTGCGTTTTGTATTGTTAGTCTTAATAAATTATATTGTTTATACTATATCTGAAGCCTGCATTTCCCTGTGTCAGTCCACACACCTCTGGTCATACCTGGAGCCCTGACACTGACCATTTGGAAACTCGGGCACTGCCCAAGGGCCCAGGGTCAGTAGGGGGCCCATGAGATGCCCCTGGTACCTTTTTCATAGGCTTTTTTGAGTTTGAGCAAGGACACAGGGGCAACATGATCCCCTATTGCCCGGGGCCCCATGAGTTGTCAGTCCGCCCCTGCTCTGGAGTGACCAATCACGCTTCTCTGTCTGGCAATTCGATGGAAGTGTCTTGATTTGTTGGTTGCCAGGAGAACAGTACTTGCCTGACTGCATTGTACCAAGTGTAAAGTTTGGTGGAGGGGGGATTATGGTGTGGGGTTATATTTCAGAGGTTGGGCTTGGTCCCTTAGTTCCAGTGAAGGGAACTCTCAAGGCCTCAGTGTACCAAGACATTTTGGACAATTTCATGCTCCCAACTTTGGGAAGAGTTTGGGGATGGCCCCTTCCTGTTCCAACATGGCTGCACACCAGTGCACAAAGTAAGGTTCATAAAGACATGGAGGAGCCAGTTTGGGGTGGAGGAACTTGACTGGCCTGCACAGAGTCCTGACCTCAACCCGATAGAACACCTTTGGGATGAATTAGAGCGGAAACTGCGAGCCAGGCTTTCTCATCCGACATCAGTGCCTGACCTCACAAATGTGCTTCTGGAAGAATGGTCAAACATTCCCATAGACACCCTCCTAAACCTTGTGGACGGCCTTCCCAGAAGAGTTGAAGCTGTTATAGCTGCAAAGGGCGGGGCTAACTCAATATTGAACCCTACGGACTAAGACTGGGATGCCATTAAAGTTCATCTTCGTGTAAAGGCAGGAGGCCCAATACTTTTAGCAATATAGTGTATATCCAGAGCTAGGTATGAATCTGCAATAAACAGACCTTTCACTAGCCTTTTGAACATTTAAGCTCCAGAAGGTTTTTCTCTCTTCATGACCAGGGCATTTCTTGTTATTCAGCACTGCATTACTTTCACTAGCAATTGCTTGCTCATGCAACACTGTACCCAAATAAACGTTATATAATTTTTTTTACCCAAATAGAGCTTTTTTTTTGGTGGTATTTGATCACCATAGGGTTTTTATTTTTTTTATTAAAGAAAAAAAATATCCAATAAAAGAATTTAACAAATCTTTTAATACATTTCTTCATAAATGTAGGCCAAAATGTATTCTGATGCATGTCTTTAGTAAAATTCCCAATAAGTGTATATTGATTGGTTTGTGTGAAAGTTATAGCATCTAAAATGATAGTATTTATACAGCAAATTTTATTATTTTTTTTTTTAGACTAGTAATAGTGGTGATCAGCGAATTATAGTGGGACTGTGATAGTGCGGCAGCAATTTGACACTAACAGATACTGGGTAGGAACTGACTAACTGACACTGACATCACCAATGACACTAATACTGTGATCAGTGATAATACCAGGGGCGGACTGACAACGCATGGGGCCCCTGGGCAATAGAGGATCATGGGGCCCCTGTGTCCTTGCCCAAACTAAAAAAAGCCTATGAAAAAGGTACCAGGGGCATCTCATGGGGCCCCCTACTGACCCCGGGCCCTCGGGCACTGCCCGAGTTTCCAAATGGTAAGTCCGCCCCTGGATAATACTATACACTGTCGCTGTACTAATTACACTGACTGGGAAAGAGTTAACATCTAGGGCAATCAAGGAGTTAAGTGTGTGCCTAACAAGTGTTAATTTGTGTAATGTGTGGTGCTTTTCACTTAAGATCTCTTTGTTTTTTCTTCCTGCTTGGGAGAGAGATTGTTTCCCCAGTACAGAGAAAAAGACTGTCCCTCAATCGACACAGAGCTCTGGGCTGTGATTGGACACAACTGATCAGCAGATCTCAACCATGAATCATTGGCTGGGACCTGTTGACAAACTCCCGCTGTGTGGAATCACAGTGGGAGTGGGCAGGCAGGGGCGCGTGCATGCACATCCTGTACCTGGAAGAAGCCAGCGACATACAGGTATTTCACGGTGCCTATACGGGCCACCCGTCTGCAGTAGATTTTGCTCCACAAATGGTTAATAAAATAAGCAGCAGAATTTGTTTTTAAAAAAAAGCTGTACTTTTATCATTAAAAAGCTGGCCAGAGCTCCAATCTAGTGACTTTTATACTAAAAAGGTCCGGTCCGAGCATGTAGGCCCTTTACAAAATAATCTAGAGTGGATGACTGGGGACAAAGAGAAGGCAAATTTATTAAATACCTTCTTCAGCTCTGTGTATACAAAGGAGCATGGGGGAGCTCTTGTCCATAATGGGCGTGGTATTGACACAGCTCCAGATGATCCACATTGGCTCACAATTGATATCATCCAGAAATATTTAGACAGAATAAAGGTGAATAAAGCTCCTGGACTGGATGGCATACACCCACAGGTCCTTAAAGAGTTGAGCTCTGTCATTTCAAAGCCATTGTTTCTAATTTTTAGGGATTCTTTAATGACTGGCATAGTACCACTGGATTGGCATGAGACCAATGTGGTGCCGATGTTCAGAAAGAAGTCAAAATCTTTACCAAGTAATTATAGTCCTGTTAGTTTAACTTCTATAGTTGGGAAGATACTTGAGAGTTTAATAAGAGACCACATAGATGAGTTCTTGCTGGAAAAAAATATTTTAAGCAACA